GTGATGTAGAGTGCGTGCCCTTGACGTACAAGGATGTCCTTAACTCCAAGTACAAGGTGCTGTGGGAAGCAGCCATAGCAAAGGAGTTCGACGGCCACAAGAAGACGGGGACGTTCTCCGAGATTAGCGGTCTGCCCGAGGGGCGTAAGGCCATCAGTGCGAAGTGGATTTTCTATTTTCTCGCACAAGACCAATGAGAAGGGGCTGATTGTCGACTTCAAAGCACGTATGGTTGCGCGTGGTTTTTCTCAGATTCCCGGTGTGGATTTTCACCACTCATCATCCGCATGCCCTTCCGCGGTGTCCATCAAAACTATGGTGGCCGTATCCACCGAGAATGGTAGGAGGCCTGTACACTATGACATCGAGCAGGCGTACACACACGCCAAGCTGAAGGAAGACATCTACCTGAGGCTTCCAGACGGTTGTGGTGTTTGGACTGGCAAGGCGGTGAAAGTCGAGCGTGCTCTCTATGGACTCAAGCAGAGTGGGCGCGAGTGGGGGTTTGAGGCTGCCGATGCCCTGATCTCAAACGGCTACGAGCAGTGCAGGGTGGACCCCTGCATTTTTCGCAAGGTGGTTGACGGAGAACTCGTAGGTCTCATCGTGATCAACGTGGATGACATCATGTTGTCCGCGACCGAGGAGGAGCGTGAAGAGTTGCTAGCGTCTCTCCAGAAGNTTTTCTATTATGTTTTGAGTTTGTAGGCGAGGGTTTTTGATCCGGATGGCCGAGTTTTCCCCTTGCACCCGTTGTTGTATGAGAAACTTAAGTAGATCTGGAGTATAGATGCCCCACTGATGGTTTGTCAATAGCTTGACGAACCGGGGAGGGTGTTCGTGTGTCTGGATACGAGCATGGTAGATCTGCTTGCAGCACGGGGGGGTACGTAGACAGGAGCATGCGTATGCCTGAAAAAGGCTACTATGTGTGGGCCCCCTTCCCCGAATTCGGGAGGGCCACTTCTTCCCTTCCTTTCCTCGCTCCCGCGGGTGCCTAATCAGAGAGAGTTAAAGCGTGTCTTCTGTACGGACATACCAACAGATTCGTCACTTCGAGACAATCAAAGCACACGACTTCCGCAAAATTGTCTCCACGTCCTCGTAGAGGCGCACGTGGATTTGGCGCCCGACCCTCTCCCCCCGTAAAAAAAAAACTTCTCACCCGCCCGTGCGCCTTCCTTCCCTTTCACCGCCCCCCCCGCCCTACCCANAATTGTCTCCACGTCCTCGTAGAGGCGCATATGGATTTGGCGCCCGACCCTCTCCCCCCTTAACAAAAAATTTTCTCACCCGCCCGTGCGCCTTCCCTTCCCTTTCACCCCCCCCACGCCCTACCCCACCAAAGGCGTTGCATTCCCGACCACCATTGTCCACATCCCCCGCCCCGGCCACGGCCCACGCTCCTCAAAGGCCACCACCGCCGCATTTGCCTTGTCTCGTCCATCATCCACGTAGTACGTCCTCTNACCGCCACATTTGCCTCGTCTCGTCCATCACCCACGTAGTACGTCCTCGGGACCCACCCACCCTCCACCGCAGCCCGCCCGCGTTCGACCCCTTACGTCTTCCTCGCTGCGTTGCGCACCAAGTTGTGCTTTGGGCGGTACTGGCGCTTGTTGTCCAGCATCATCGTGATCCCCTTGCGCGTGGAGACTTCGCCTGACCTGGTCGGTTTCTGCGCGTCCTTGGTGGTCTTGGTGGTCGTGCTGAAAGTTCCTGGCAGAGTCTTGTCGCCGAGTAGGTGGGGGCGTACCTGGACCACCTCGGCGTCTTCTTCCGACCGGTGGATTGGTGTGACCTTCTCGTCCCGGAGAAAAGTTATGGAAGCGAAAGAGCGCCGTGATGAGGTCGCAGCGCCCAGCGAACTGAACACGCAACGGCTTCCACAGGATGCCCCACTGGCCGACGAGAATGCCGAACGCTTGCTCGATCCTGACTCTGAGTTGGCTCAGATAGAAGTTGAACGCATCTTTGTCCAGCGGTAGTCCCCTCCCTGGGTACGGAGTCAACAGGTGGTCGCTTAGGGGGTAAGCCGCGTCTCCGAGCATGTAGAAGCCTGGCGGCAGGTTTTTTACCGCTGTGGATAGATCCGAATGGTTCCATGCCGTCCAGTCATTGGTCGAGCCGGGTGCAATGCAAGACATGCTGCAAAACCGGTAGTTGGCATCGCATGTCGCCTGTACGTTCATCCCGTAGCCGCACTTGCTCCCAGAATAGTACGAGAGAACGTTCTGAGTGTTGCGGGCAGTCGGAGCAAGAGTCTTCACGAAGAGGCCATCCCCCGCAGCTACTAGACTTNAGTGTTGAGGGCAGTCGGAGCAAGAGTCTTCACGAAGAGGCCATCCCCCGCAGCTACTACACCTTGAAAGGCGCCGCCCGTGCTTTTTTCCTGAGGATAGACATGGCGCGCGGGGAGGGACACAACAGAGGCGCTCTTAGATTCGTTAAAGTTTGATTTTCGGGCAGCGGCAAGCCCATCGACTACCCCAGAAAAAACGTGCAGGCGTGTGCGAGCAATTAAAGACGAGCCCTCTCCTAGACATGCCAATCAATACAGTGCGACTGTTCGTGTCAATGTTCCCTGCAGACTGGAGCTCATTTCGCCATGCATCAAGCCAATACGTGGACACAAGGTATAGAGGTTTTCCCATGCTGTCGCAAGTGCTTCCGGCTCGCCCCGNGCCAATCAATACAGTGCAGACTGGAGCTCATTTCGCCATGCATCAAGCCAATACGTGTACACAAGATACAGAGGTTTCCCCGTGCTGTCACAAGTGTTTCCCGCTCGCTCCTTATTCGGTGCGTCTAGACAAGCAGGATATTCTGCCGAGCGGAGGACCGACATGCATGCATCCATGCAATCCGCGTCATTTGTTTTGGGCCAGACTCTGCAGCGTGGTGCCTTCCTTATGTAACATACACGTTAGGAGGCCTGCAGCCTACGGAAGTGGTGAAGTTGAACTGCTCTTCCGACACCAGACCCGGTAGGCACACCACAGCACAACACCTGTCTGTCCATTTTCGCCGCCTTGCCTGTTCTTGGCCATGTTCGCACGTACATCTGTTCGCATACTGTAATCAATATTCGAAGTAATGTTGAAACTAAACCGCCACCAAACACGATCATGTGTTCGTTCACATTATCATAGTCACCTACCTGGAATGCAAACATGCCATCTACCCTGCTGCTGTAGACTAGTGTATCATTTCCGCACCTCCCATTCTGCCGCCTGCCGGGTGCACTCATCCTGGCTCTGCGGAAAAAAGAACGGCCCAACCGCTGCTGTGCTGTTGATGGCATCCACCACCTGCCACACGATGCTGAAGAACGTCTCCTTGGACACGCCGAACAGCACGGCGACATCGAGATACGAAGCACCGGTCATCATCCGCAAGCCGATAGCTTGTCGGATCTTCATCGGAACAGCACCGCGTCGATACCGTTTTCCTGTTTCGCATGAAGCACAAGATAAGCATAGCGTGAACGTATCAGCAGACGAAAATAGCAAGTGCTGGGCGGTGAAACTGTTACCCTAACCCTAGTCAGACACCGGAGGTCACCGTCCTGCTGGTGTAAACCGTCCTGCTGGTGTGAGAGTGCGGGCGGTGGTGCTGCGCGATGATTCGCCTTGTTCCTACAGCAGTAGTCTACACTTTTAACCAATAGACTACACCAACCGTGGTCTTCTGCAATGCTGCACTTCAGCATCAGCAACAAACGGAAGGACGGGAAAACACCACGGCATGAGTTCTGCGCCTCGTGCATCAATCACACTCTCTCTCTCTTGTTCGTGAGCCCTAGCCCTGTTAAGGGCCGGCGGACTTGGGGCTGCTGTTTAACTGTGTGTATTAGCTCGCATGAGAGAGGAGAGAGGGAGAAGGAGGAGAGGCCCCAATTCTCGAGAGAACACGGGGACTCCGCACTATCATCCAAAGCCTCTCAGCACATACCCTTCAAGTTTTCCCAGCTGCGTCCTACGTAACGGCTACTTTTCGACTATCTACTTGTACGCACGAACACCCTCCCTGGTTCTTTGCGCCAGTGAAGAACCTCTAGTGCGTCGAAAATACGTCCGAAAAACCGAAACACAAC